AAAAAGGCAATGGGATGACATATATAAAACTTTGAAAGAGAACAAATGCCAACAAAGAATTTTATGTTCAGCAAAATTGTACCAAAATTACAACTGCAAAGTTAGGACATATTCAGAAAGGAGACTATCTTAGTCTGGGTTCATCCCCGCCCCCCTAAAAAAAAACCCCCAAGCTCACAGCCATCAAGTCAATGCCAACTCATAGAGGCCCTTATAGGACAGGGTAGAACTGCCCCTGTGAGTTTCTGAGACGGTAACTCTTTATAGGAGTGGAAAGCATCATCTTCCCTCTACAGAGTTGCTGATGGTTTCAAACTGCTGACCTTGTGGATTGCAGACCAACACTGCACCACCAGGCTCCTATGGGTTCATAGAGAAGCAAAATGAGTGAAAAAAATATATAGAGAGATTTATATCAAAAAAATGTCTTACACAGTTGTAGAAGTGGGCAGGGATCCAAGTCTGTGAGTTACGCTGAAGGCCTCTCCTGACTTGTTTGCTATTTGGGCTGCAGAGAGGAATGAATCTCAGGTTAGCAGGCCAGACTTGTAGCTACAGAGGAAAATAATCCACAGTTGGCAGGTCAGATGCAGGTCACTAACAAATCCCTGGATCAACAAGCAATATGACAGGCTGTTGGTTCAAGTCCAAAGAACTGGAAGTTAATCAGCCAGATTCAGGATCCAGCCCCAGCCCCAAACAAGCAATCTTTCTACAGCATACACTTCTATACTAAGTAGGCCACACTCTTAAGGAAACTTCCTATCATTTGGCTGCATCAAGGATTTGATCTGAGTCACAGTGTGCATTCCACACTAAACTTCCTTTAATTGATTTTCTGAGATTACATTGTGTTAGGTCTGGTCATGGCTAGATGTTAACTGCCAAACCATCAAGAATTTTGGCCTAGCCAAGTAGACACAAAATTTTAACTATCATACAGAAATTAAAAGAATTTTTTAAAAAAACAAACAAACAAATCGAACCAGACCAAACTTACAAGAAATACTAAAGGAAGTTCTTTGGACAGAGGAACAACAGTATACAACATAACATACACGACCAACACTACCCAGAAGTCAATGTAAAGAAAGCCTACAAGATTGAAAACATGGGACCAGAGTTATCACTTTATAAATATAGATAATTACAAAGTAAAAAGAGGGAATAAGTAAATACAGAATTTCCAAATGTAGAGGAATTCAAGTTGATTTCAAGGTAGAATCGATTATTTTAAGCCTACAATCATCAGAAGAAAAGAATCTAAGTAGAGATTAGAACAGAAAGAAATGAAACAGAAAAAAAGAATCAATAAGATTAGAAGCTGGTTCTTTGGAAAGATTAATAAAATCAACAAACCACTAGTAAACCTAACAAAAGAAAAGTATAAGATGCAAGAAACATGAGTAAGAAACAAAATGGGCAATGTTATAACAGAACAAACTGAAATAAAAAATTGTAATAGGGGGAGCTGGGAGGAAGGGGAAAAATGAGGAGCTGATATTTGAACTGAAAAGGGCTCAAGTACAAAGCAAATGTTTTGAGAATGATGAGGGCAACAGATGTACAAATGTGCTTGACACACAATGGATGGATGCATGGACTGTGATAAGAGTTGTACGAGACCCCAATGAAATTTTTAAAACAATTGTAATAAATGAATACTATGAGGAACTGTACTCCAACAAATTTGATAATCTAGACAAAATGGGCAAATTTCCAGAAACATACTACCTACCCAAACTAATACAATCTGAGATTCACAGTTTAAAAATTCCTATCAAAAAGGAAAAAATTAAACAGATCATAAAATACTCGTAACAAAAATTAAGGTCTGGCCCAGACAATTTCAGTGGTGAATTCTATCAAACATTCAGATAAAAACTGACACCAATTATACTCAAACATATGCTTGCTCATGTTCACTTCAGCACTATTCACAATAGCAAAAATGTGGAAAAAATAACATAAATGCCAATCCATCAAAGAATAGATTACAAGGTAAAGTATGCTAGATACATATAATGGAATACTATTTATGATTTAAAAATAATGAATATGTAAAACACCTTATAACATGGATATGTTAGTTCTCTCATGGGAGAGATACACCTTGGTTCTTGGCTTAATGTGAGAAAGAATTCATGCTGGAGCCTGGTTTGTAATCCAACTGAGTTTACAGAGAATAGAAGTGGCACAAGCGCATGGGACAGCAGATCAGCAACTTGGGCCGCAGTGCTGCCGCTCTGGGACTGCAGTCCAGTTCCTGTGGCACTGTGTCAGAGCCACTGGGAGAGAGCGCCCGAGCAAAGCCTCTGGCTTTTCAGGTGCCCCGTTGGGAGGCATGGTAGACAATACTGGTCGATCCCATTATCTGAATTGAATTCACTTGGCCCAGATGGGCCAATTCAGGTGAAACACCCACCTAGGTGTAACACCCTTTCCTGGTCGGAAGCTTGAACCTCTGAGCATGCATAATGGACGCCCCAGTCTGTATGCTAATCTACTAACATTTCCCCCCTGAAGAGCTATGGACCCAAATCTTTGGGGTACTGGGTGATGATATTTCTAGCTACTTCCTGCTGACAAAAGGGGTGAAGTGGGGCTTTGGGTCCATATCCTTCCTACTCTGTTGGAAGGGGTTGTCTGCTCAGGGCCCAGAATGGATGAGGTTGAGGGGGTCCAGGAGATGGTGGTCCTGGAGCTGGCACATTGGGTCAGAGGTAACCTGATAACTTCTGGAAAAACAAACAAACGGACAAACAGTTTAAGTGAGACAAGGGTAAGATTGTAAGGTGTCAGTGCCTTGGAGTTAGGTCAGTATCACAGGAAATAAATAAAAATCCTAGGATTAACAGGCATCAGTGTTTGTTCACTGCAAACACAGGAACGGAGTAAAGGAATTCACTGGCCTAAAGGCTGTGAGGGGTCTGAGGTAGCGTCATCTGTGTAGCCCTCATCTGTCCGGGGGTGGCAATGAAATGCCATCCTAAGACCGTCCAATGGCTCACAGGAGTACTCATCTGCGGTCTCTGACTGGGAGGGGTCCGATGGTGACAGTTTCCAGGGTTTCATCCATTTATGGTTGATCCAAGCACTCTGCCCTGGAACTTTGACAGCAGTGGGGATAGAGAATTACTGGCAAAGGTCCCTTCCAGACTGGCTGAAGCTGAGAATTAGGAGACCAGTCCTTCCAAGTTTTTATAAGAACTAGGTCTCCTGGCTGGCACAAGAGTGGTGACTTTTCCTCCCCCAGGGTCTGGTGGCACGCCTCCTGACATTGGGCTACTTGGGTAGCATATTGCTGTATTAAGGCTACCTCAGAGTCTATAGCTGGCTCTGTTATAAGAAAAAGCCACCCATATAAAACTTCATAGGGGCTCAAACACGTAGGTTGCCATGGGGCAATTCTAAGATGTAACAGATCTATTGGTAGTGCATCTTTCCAGCTCATCTGAGTTTCTTGTGTCAGCTTTCTGAGCGTTAACTTCAGGTGTTGATTAATTCTCTCTACCTGCCCGAAAACCAAGGCCTCCTGGCAAAGTGGAGACAATAGGTTATTCCCAAGTGTTGGGAGACTGCCTGAGTGATGTGGGAGATGAAAGCAGGCCCATTATCACTTTGCAGATTTGGGAAGCCCAAATTGAGGAATTACTTCCTGAAGTAATTTTTCAGCCACTTCATGAGCCTTCTTATGCGGGTGGGATATGCTTCAATTCATCCAGTGAAGGTGTCTATAAACACCAGAAGATACTTAAATCCCTGGACAGTGGGAACCTGGGTAAAATCTACCTGCCAGTCTTCCCCAGGGTAGGATCACTTGTTCTGGACAGGTTGAGCAAGGTGACTTCTGAGTGCCCCTTGGGGGCTGTTGGTCTGACAGGTGAGACAATGGGAACTAACTGACCTGGTGGTTGAGGTTAAGTTGGCCCCACAGAACTGATGAGTGAGCAGGGTCAAGGAGGGTTTATGGCTAAGATAAGTGGCCTGGTGGAAGGCTTTCAGGAATTTTCACTGTAGCCTTTGTGGCAAGAGGAGTGTTTTGTCTTTCTCCCACCATCCATCAGGTCGAAGACAATCCCTGTGTCTTCACTTGTTCCACTTCTTCTGGTGAGTAATCTGGAAGTGAGAGCTGGTTTGGGGGAATTAGGGCATTTATGGAGGCTGAGAGGCTGGTGCTCAGGGCTGCCTGTCTGGTGTCCCTGTCAGCGGCTCAGTTGCCCACAGCGACTTCTGAGTCCCCCTTCTGGTGCCCTCGGCAGTGCACTACTGCCACTTCAGCTGGTTTTTGGACAGCTTCCAAGAGTGCCTTGATCTGGCTCCCATCCTTAATGGGGCTTCCTTGAGTGGTGAGATATCCTCTTTCCTGCCAGATTGAAGAGTGGGCGTGGAGAACCAGAAACCCATATTTGGAGTCAGTAAATAAAGTTAATTTCTTTCCCTCTGCTGGTTCAAGGCCCTGTTCGGGCTATGAGTTCAGCCAGCTGGGCTGAAGTTCCTGGGGGCAGGGGATTAGCTTCAATAACTTGGTCAAGGGAGTCAATGGCATAACTTGCCTTGTGCACTCCCTCAATCACAAAGCTGCTTCCATCTGAGAACCAGACACAATCTGCTACTGCCAGTGGTTGGTTTTTGAGGTCTGATCGAGGCAAGTTATTAGTAGACAGTAGCTCAAAGCAGGAATGAAGGGGCTTAGTGTCCTCCCACGGTCAGGGAGTAATGTGGCTGGATTGAGTGTGCTACAAGTCTGGATAGTGACACCAGGGTTTTCTATAAGAAGAACCTGGTACTTCAGTAGGCAGCTATCAGAAATCCAGTTACAGCCTTTAGCTTGTAGCACCTCGGAGATCCTATGATTAGTCAGGACCTCTAAAGTTCCTCCTAAGGTGATCTTTACTGCCCCTTGGACCAAGAGGGCCATGGCAGCTATTACTCGTAGACAAGGTGACCAGCCTGCTGAGGTAGGACCTAACCTCTTTGATAGGTTGGCCACTGGCTGAGGATGAGGTCCTAGCTTCTGGACCAGCACCCCCCAGAGCAACTTCCTTTCTCTCATGGGCATACAAGAAAATCTTCTTTGCAGGGTCTTGGAGACCCAGCACTGGAGCTTGGAGCAGAAGAGTCTTAAGCTGGTTTATTGCTTCCCTTTGCTCTGTGCCCCACAGTAGGGGTTCTAGATCGCTCCTCACTTTCAGGCTCTCATATAGGGGTTTTGCTAGAAGTCCATAGTTAGGAATCCAGATTCTACAAAACCCTGTAAGGCCTAGAAACACCCACAGTTGCTTCTGTGTTTCTGGCTCAGGCAGCTCCACAATTGCCCTTACTCATCCTGAGGAGAGCCCTTTCTTTCCTTTTGATAAGAGTACTGCCAGGTATGTTACCTCCTGTTGCACTAGCTGGGCCTTGGCCCTGGAGACTTTGTAATCTCTTTCTGCCAAGAAGTTTAGAACTTGTACTGTATGGGCAATGAACTGTTTCCCAGTGGCCGAGCAGATGAGGAGGACATCTACATACTGTAGGACCATGCCCCCCTCTAGAGTAAGACCAGCTAGATCCTGGCTTAGGGCTTATCTGAACAATTGAGGACTGTCTCAGAAGCCTATTAGCAACCCTGTCCAACTGAGTTGCTGTGAGTGCCCTTGCTCTAACTTCCATTCAAGGGGTTATGGCTTGTTCCTATGGTTCCTGTGGGGTAATCTGCAGCTCCTCTACCGTGAGGATCATTTGGAAAGCTGTAGAGGGACAAGGATGAGGCCTGATGACTATGCAGGTGTGTAGCTTAGACAGTATTCAGGGACTACTAGGAAGCTATGAGAAAAATAGAAAATAACCCATAGGCACCTGAGGGGTTTGGTAACATGTTTAACAGCAGATTTTTCTGACACTCCCAGGATGGAGCAGGTGTGGGGTGCCAGGAGTCTGGGAAAGTAGGTAAGGACAGAATAGGTGGCCCCAGTATATAAAAGGAAATTTACTGACCTACCTGCCATGTCGATGCTCATTCTAGGCTCCAGACCAGTAACGGTTATCTCCTGCTGCTGGGTGGTCCAGACCAGGCACCTTCAATCCTCCACATTGGCCTGTGGGTACCCCTCCTCCAGGTTTTTGGCATTAGGACAGAGTACAGCCCAGTGGCCAGTCTGCTAGCAATGGTAACATGGCACTAGAGGAGGCTTATTCCAGTTAGGACAGTTCCTAGCCCAATGACCTGGCCACTAGCAATTGTAGCACTCAGTACCTGATTCAAAGGTCTGAGAAATCTGGTAGGCATTTGACAGGTGTTGGTTAGTAAGTGCAGCCAATACCTGGGAATGACAGATGTCCTTCCTTCTCTCTTTCTCCTTGGCCTGAACCTCCAATTCCTGCTCCCTATTGTAAAAGGCTGAATTATTACAAGTAACCATCTCCTCTAGGATAGCTCCTTCAGGTTTCTGCACTAGTTTTTGGAGCTTCTTGCAAATGTCCGGTGCAGCCTGCGTGAGAAACATGTCCCTGAGTAAGACTTGCCCCTCATAGGATTCTATATCTATAGCAGTATGATTCTCAGGGCTTCCAATAACCACTCTAAAAAGCCTACAAGAGGCTCCGCAGGTCCCTAGTGAATCACTGTCACTTTGGTGTAACTAATGGCCTTTTGCCTACATGATTTAGTCCATTTGTGATGCACACCATGAAATGTTCCCATGCCCACTTGCCCTGGGGCTCACTATGATTCCAAGGAGGGTCAGGTAAAAGTACAGCTGTTTCCCCTACTGGGTACTTATCATTCATCACATGTAACTCCTCTGCATACTTCCTAGCACCTTTGAGCACTCATTCTTTCTCAAAGTTTGTCATTGTCTGTCCCGGTATGACCATTGCATCTTTCCAGGTTAAATCATAGGCTAGGGTGAGGTGCTGGAAGTGTTCTATGTACTATTTGGGTTTATTAGAGTAACTGCCCAAGTAATTTTTAATTTGCTTGAGTTCAATTAGAGTGAAAAGCTTGTAGATGGCCTGGGGACAAAACTCCCCAGCTGCCTCTACTACGGGTAGAATGTTGGTAGGTTCAGGGCTGGGGAATATTTGACCTTAAATTTAGGGTCCCTTTGGGGGTCCTGGGTGCACTGGGAACAAAGGTTGCTACTGCTACTCTAAAGAAAAAAATGCTCTAACCTATGGCATCTATGCCCACTTCCCCATCCTTCCAAAGAAATGTTCTAACTAAATCAGGGTTGGAAGGGAAAGTGTACCATTCTCTGGCTACGATTCTCCTTTTCCTAAAAGATATTGTGGCCAAATAGAGTTGCAAAATGAAATCAGCTTCTGTTTTTCCAGCCTTTCCCGATCAAATCTATCCCAATTAGGCAGGATACATCCGAGGGGGGAACTCCTGGGTACCAAGCTGGTAAGTCCTTCTAGAAAACACAAAACAAGGAGGTTATGAGAGCTTAATGCCTCAAGGTCAATAACCGCAGCTTCAGCTCATACCTATAGGGTGCTGTGGGTCTGAGGCCTCAGGCAGGTGCCCCTACCTGAGAGAGGGGTCAAAGACCAGTTGCCACAGGTCCAACCATTTTCTAGACCACAACCTAAGAGGACCACTGTTTGGAGTGGCCCCAAGGCCTTCAAAGATGCCTGCTGGCAGGAGCAGACTCTCGAATCTCTGAAGGGGAGGGACATCTGTCCAGCAGCATGGGGAACCTTTAGGGAAATTGGAATTTCTGGCTGGAACATTGTGGCATCAGAACTGTAGTAAAAGCTATCCCCAAAAGTGTTGGAAGTAGTACCAATGAAAGGTAAAAGTTAACAGTCACTTGGGATAGACTTTCAAATCCAGCCAATAGGAAAAGTACAAACTTACATTGGCAGAACACTAAAGCAGCTTATTTGTAAAACCAAGAGAAAACTAAAGGGAATGGGGGAGGGGAAGGGAAACATTCGGCTCCCAGGACTAGGTGGGGCTAACTCCCAGACCAAAGCAACCAGTTACCTAGGTCCAACCCCTCCACGAGTCTGGAGTGGTGGGTGCCATCTTGGCCAGGGTCATGTGCTCCATTTCCCAGCAGCCAAAATGGCAGACACCAGGTGGTGCCATCTTGCCAGGGAACAGAGAGTCACGTGGTTGGGAAAATGGTGGCCACAGCTTGCGGCCTAGCTGAAAGTCAGCAGAGGACAAGCCACTGGAGCCAGAGTACTGCAGAAACCAATGTGGTTTATGCGGATGCACCCAACCATCTAGCTGGCTGGAACACAAAGCATACCACTAAGACTCAAAAAAACTTTGGGAATCTAAATCCTCCAAACCTGCAGGCAACAGCGTCTCAATCTCCCCCCTCCCCCACCAGAAATCAAGACTGAGGAAGGCATGCAAGCTCCCAGGAAGTCAGACACAGAAAGGCAACCGTAAAGTCCCGTATACCAGTAAGGATAAACGAAATGACAGCTACAAAAGGATGGGGCTGTGGCAATACATTACGAGTGTCCCCATCAGTTGGTTCCAGGGACCATCCGCCTCCATGGTGGTGTTTCGGTGGGAGGAGTTCAGCCCGACTTCTGTTCCAGCTCCACGCCATCTCCCAAAGGTGGTGAGGTGAAAGAGTCCAGAAGGTATCAAAAGACCCATAAGACCAGGATGTGAGGACCTGCTCCAGGATACCTTATATCTCAGAGTCATGACAGCAATATGTTAGCTCTCTCACGGGAGAGATATACCACGGTTCTTGGCTTTGTGTGAGAAAGAATTCATGCCGAAGCCTGCTTTGTGATCCAAGTGAGTTTATAGAAAATAGAAGCAGCACAAGTGCAAGGAACAGCGGCTCAGCGACTTGGGCCGTAGCCCACCTACTCTGGGACTGCAGTTCGGTTCCCACTGCACTGTGTCAGAGCTGCTGAGAGACAACACCAGAGCAAAGCCTTTGGCTTTTCAGGTGCCTATTTGGGAGGTGTGGTTGACAATAATGGTGAATCCCATTTGCTGAAATGAATTTACCTGGCCCAGAAGGGCCAATCCAGGTGCAATGCTCACCTAGGTATACCACCCCTTCCTGGCCAAAAGTTTGAAGCTCTGAGCATGAGTAATGGATGCCCCAGTCCCTATGCTAAGCTACCTAACAGATGAGCCTAGAGGACATTACACTGAGTGAAACTAATCCATCATGAAAAGACTGATGAAGGTGGTGTCCAGTTAGATTTACCTGCCCAGAGCTCCTGCTGCCAGACCAGAAAATTGGTAGGTACGGTGAGGGAGACTGGGAGGCAGAGTCCTAAAATTAGAATCAGGGTACTAGGGTCTGCCATGGACTCTGCTTTTTTTGCTTTTCACTCACAAAGCGAACCGAGAGCACACTGAAATGCTCTAGTGCTAAGCTCTTGGACTCTGGACCAAGCAGCTACCTGTGCCCTAGTCCTGCAGTGAGTAGCAATTTACCCAGACTTACGTCAAAAGGGCCATAATCCAAGACTCAAAGAGAAACTCTGAAAGCTAGTCACAAGATCTCACAACAGAGCTCCCGAACTGTTAGCTACTCTGTTTTCTCAAAAATAAGACAGTGTCTTCCATTAATTTTTGCTCCCAAAGATGTGCTGCGTCTTATTTTCAGGGGATATCTTATTTTTCCAGGAAGAAGAATACAGTACACATTTATTGTTGAACAACAAAAAAGGAAATGTATTACCTGTATTTGGTACGGTAGTAGTTATCATCACAAACCAGCATAACCAGACAAACTGAATCCTACAGTATTAAGAATTTCTTGTTACTACCATTATTTCCATGTACTACAATCTATGGTACATTTACTCATAATCTATGTTACATTTACTTGCACTTCCTGCCTGCTTCGGCTGCGCTGTGGCCAACAGTGAGCTGCGTGGTGGCACCCGCTGCTACGGTCCAGAGTCCAGAGCTATGGTAGCTTCGGAGGGCCTTTTTATTGGGGAGGTTTTATTGTCAAGGGATGCCTTATATTTCAGTGAGAGGCAAAACTGTAAATAGGTCTTATTTTCAGAGGATGTCTTAACTTTTGGAGAAACACGGTACCTTGTGCTCATAGCCTAGGGCTTGGGTTAGCACCGGTAGCCATAGATTTGGAGCAATTGAAAAAACATCAGGAAAATTGCCGGAGCCAGATGGCGGTGTGACAGAACATAAGCCGGTAGCAATAGCCCTCGGGGCAAATTCAGTTCCAGTTGGCTGAGAAGTAAATCACCTCTCTGATAAGCTAGATCTCCTCCCTTGGGCATCAGCATGACAGCCCCGAAATTAGCATGCCGTAAGTCCAATATAAAAAAAAGAAAAAAATTTTCTCAGTAAAAACTGAAAATCCCACGCTCATTGTTGAACTCCAAGGCTAACTGATAGAACAAGTTCTTTAATGTACATTAGCATAATAAGGGAGCCTATGCTAAGGAATGCCAGAAGTTAGCTACAGAGCCTGGAAGCTTTCAAGATAACAAAGACTCTCTGGAGCAAGCTTCAGTTTCCGTTTCTCACTGAGCACAGACCCAGAGCCCAGAGTCAGGAGGCCAATTTAATTTAATTCAATTCCAGCTGGCCAGGAGAAAAGTAAAACAGAGCAAAACAAAAAACCTCTGAGCTATTAGGGCATCAGCGGTCTTGGCACAGGCTAGGGCAACTCTGCAAGCCCAATGGAGGAGTCGGGGAGCTACTGTCTGACTTCAGTGATCCTGCATGCAGCTGGGGAAGTCCTGCCTGGCCTGGGGTCCTACACTTGGCTGAGGAAACTCCCTCACCTGCTTCAGTACTGCATACAACACAAGGCAGCTATACCAATGATCTCCAGCACTCAACACTGCTGTGGAAATCACTGACTGGCCTCCGCTGTAATCTTGCCTTCGAGGGTGGGTTAGTCTGGGTACTTTCGAGAAAGAAATTCACAGAAACTCATGTATAAGAGAGTTTTATATAAACATTAAGTGTGCATCAAAACAAAACAAAATATCCTAACCCAGTGCTGCCTA